AAACCAGCTGATCACATGCTCAAGAAGGACCATCAGCCTAACAATGGGTCATTAGCACACTGATGGCTAAGCCATCAGTGTGCTGATGGTCCTTCTTGAGCATGTGATCAGCTGGTTTTGGTTGTCAGCAGCAAAACTGGTTGATCCACCCAGAGAAGGTACTATTTAAGAGACTGAGCTGAAAACAGCACCTCAGACTGAGGAAGTCTCTTGGATGAGAGACGAAACGTTTCTAGATTTTTTTGCTTTGGTTTATTTTTTGTTTTTTTGAATGTCCAGAGGACCAGATTGAACTTTTTTGGGTCTGTTTCTGTTTGTCACTTTATTTTGATCCAGAATATGTTCCGCCCTGTGAAGATTCAGCAGAAAATGCCATTTCAGACCCGCCAAGCGTCCCGTCTTCTTCTGCCCCTGCGTCATCCCCCTCACAGAGCAGTTCACAACAGCCTGCTGTTCTTGGTGAGAAGCAACACAATTCACATCACCACACTTTATTCGTGTGTGTAGGAAAAGACTTGCTGTATTTATTTATTTTTAGTTAAAAAATCACTGTATAACATTATTTATTCATTGTTTTTTTATTATTATAAGTTGCATGAGGACTTGTCAATTGTTTTTATGCTGGTGGCCCTCCCCAACGCAACCACAGACCACTGAGCAACCATAGCACTGAGTGGAGCAGAGAGTGGCCATCTAGGGCGCCTGGGGGAGCAAATGGTGAGGGTTAAGGGCCTTGCTCAAGGATCCAGAGTGGGGTAAATTAGTTATTTATTTATTTAATAGGTTTTTAATCATTTATTTTATTCCAATTAATTTTGAGTCACTACTAGCACCATTTGCCATCCAGATGGCCATATTGTAAGAAGTTAAAAATGAAAAAAAGAGTTGGTTTTTTTTTTAACTTTTCCTCACAGAATAAAATTTAGTTCAGGTGATCACCTAATCAGTAACTCATTAAGTAGAATGGAATGTGTTTGTATTGGAATTCAGCACACACTAAAATGGAATGAGTCATTTGTGCAGAAATGCTGATTTCAGGAAATTAGCAGGGGGCTTCTAGTTTGTTCCATAGTATAGTATAGTATAGTATAGTGTAGTATAGTATAGTATAGTATAGTACAGTACAGTGCAGTAACAGCACAGTGCACTACAATACAGTGCAGTAAGAGCACATCACAGTACAGTACAATACAGTATAGTACAGTAAAGTGCAGTATAGTACAGTATAATAGTGTAGTAAACTATATAGTATATTATAGTATAATATAGTACTATATTTTAGTGTGGCAGCACGACGGCTCAGTGGTTAGCACTGTTGCCTCACAGCAAGAAGGTCCTGGGCTCAATCCCTGGTTGGACCTGGGGTCTTTCTGTGTGGGGTTTGCATGTTCTTCTCGTGCTTGAGTGGGTTTTCTCCAGGTACTCCAGTTTCCTTCCACTGACCAAAAGCATGCATGTTAGGCTGCCTTCAGGCCCAGGCCTCCTTTGCAAAAGAGATCTGTGATCTCAATGGGATTTGCCTGGTTAAATAAAGGTTAATAAATAAATTGTATTGTATAGTAAAGCACAGCACAGTACAGTATAGTATAGTATAGTATAGTATGGTATAGTACAGTACAGTACAGTACAGTGTAGTATAGTGCAGTGCAGTACAGTACAGTACAGTGTAGTATATACTTGTAGCACTTCTTGTGTCTGATGATCAAATGCTTTACCAAAGTTTAAATTGCACTATATTTAGAAGAAACGTATAAAACAAAAAATAAAGTTGAGCCAGATCTGTATGACAGAATCACTCACTTTGGTACCATTGGGACCAGCTGGACCAATAGGCTCTGAGTTACGTTTCAAATCCTGGAAAAGAAAAAACGTGCATCACACTTTCAGGTCAATTTTCTTTCATTGATAATAATGGTTTCCAAAACACGTGTTAAAAATAGTATGTATTACTGTATGTTAGTGTGTTGGCAATCAGCAGGCAATCACATGCAGGTGTAAGACTCTCAACCATTCAGTCAAAACTTCAGGTGTCACTCACATGACATTGCATGCCAGAAAAGTCTGCTGTGGGATTCCCAGTCAGCTGGTTTACATTGTCTACCTCCCCCAATCCATACCCGTTTCCCTCGCTGCTCTTCGGTTTAGCAAGGACACTGGTTGTCATTGCTTTTGAACCTTGAAGCGGCGAACCTCAGGGTGGGATTGAACTACGCGGGCTCGGGGACAAGTCAAGCCTTTCGGTGGTGAAATGTGAAAGTCGAAGGACAGCTGAGATGAAGAGTTATAGCTGATGAATGAGGCCTGACACATATTGACAAGCTAAATTTACAGCAAGCCTTGTTAGGTGTGACACATTTGGGCCACTTGCAGCAACACTTTAAAGGAAGTTAGTGAGGGAAAGGGAGAGATGGAGAGTGTGAGCAGCCTGTAAAATGACTCAGAAATCCAATCATTTGTCATGGTTAAATTTAGAGTCAGATAGCCTGTTAAGAGTGAATTATATATCTGCAGAGGATGATTACCTACTCTTATCATATTAAATCTTGCTACCAGAGACGTGACTAATTCATTGCCTGTTCCCAGCAAGCATTGTCTTAAACATTACCATCGGAAAACAGAAGCTTGGTGTAAAATAACTGCCTCTAATGATTTCTTTACAATAACATATTTTTTAGGTTGCATGAACAGTGAAAGGACTATAATTTTTTTCTCATAGTATATGAATTATTGTGTCCTTCAGCCCTCTGACACTGCCGGCAGCCTCTCGAAGTGGTTTGTTTTCATCTTTTTTTAATCAATAATCAAATTACTTTCTGAGGCTAGTCGAACACAAAGAGATCCAGGAGAAAATTTCCCTTTTGAGTATTACCAGAGCAGAAGCAGAAGTCAAGGATGACAATAACTTCAAATTGAGTAATATTTTAAATGGGCTTCTCATTTGTGAATTTTTTTTAAATAAACTTTGACAAAACATAAATTATGTTTAGATATTTCTTTATTGTTATCACAATAAAAAGTGCAAAGCAATAATTTTTCTCATAAAATAAATGACTGACATGTAGCTAAAATATATACACTGGAAAAAAAATCAATGAATGAATGCAACACTTTTAGTTTTGCTCCCATTCTTCATGAGCTGAATTCAAAGATCTAAGGTTTTTCTTTGTACACAAAAGGCCTTTTTCTCCAAATACTGTTTCTATATCTAACAGTATTTCTTCCAAATACTGTTCACAAATTTTTTTACATCTGTGTTAGTGAGCACCGAGCTGGTTTGGGAAGCTCAGTCCTCACCTCCTTCTACAGGTGTGCCGTGGAGAGCATCCTGTGCTCCAGCATCAACGTGTGGCATGGAGGCTGCACAGCTGCAGAAAGAAAAGCTTTGCAGAGAGTGGTGAAGGCTGCACAGAAGTCTGTTGGAGAGAGCCTCCCCACTATCACAGACATCTACACCTCCAGATGCATGAAGAGGGCCACCTGCATCATGAAGGACCCCACTCACCCAGCACACACTTTTTGCCCCGCTCCCTTCAGGAAGGAGGTTACGGAGCATTAAGTGTAGAACCACTACACTGAGGAACAGCTTCTACCCTGATGCTGTTAGACTCATGAATCTCTAACCAGAATAATCACTGTGAAAAATCACATCATGCTGCTGATCTGCTTCATGCTGATGTGTTCATTCATACTCATCTGCTCACTCAGACTCATGTTCGGGCTGCTGTTCAGCGTATTGTTTTTGTGCTACTAGTGCTTAGCGTATTTTTAGTTAATGCTTTTCTTAGTTTTATCTTAGATCTTATTACTGGTTTTATTTTACATTTTGTTGTTGGATGTAACTGGGACCCTGTTTACATAATTTCGTTCCACCACATGTACCACGTGGTGCGAATGACAAATAAAGGAACTCTGACTCTGACTCCATCCACCCCACAGGTGTGGCATGTCGAGCTGATGATAAGACAGCATGATTATTGCACAGGTTGCCCACAATAAGAGGCCACTCTAAAATGTGCTGTTTGATCACACCACGAAGGCACAGATGTAAGTTTTGACAGCATGTAATTGGTGTTCTGCAACATGGGGTGATGGTCGTGGTTGAATGGCACAACAATGGGTTCTCATCACCGTATCTATGTGCATCCAAAATGCCATCAGTAAAATGCCCCTGTGTTTGTTATGCATAACATACACCTGTCCATACCATAACCCCACCACCATCATGGTCCACTTGATTCACACTGCAATCAGCAAACCGCTCAACCCCACAAGGCCATACACACAGTCTGCCATCTGCCCTGTATGGTGAAAAGCCTCTCCTATGTGCCATTCGCCATCAAATGTGAGCATTTGCCCACTTAAGTTGGTTACGACAACGAACTGGAGTTTAATACCTTTTCAATAAAACATCAATAAGCATTGTATGCTGCAGCGATCTGAAGGTTCACTTTTTTGCCCAAGGTAAAATAAACTACACCGTCTTCCTACTGGAAGAAAACCATTTTACTACTAGAGCATGCATTGCTTTTTTCTTATCTATTGAGAACATTTTTTGTTTGTTTATAACTTGTGGTTGACTTGTAATAAATTGTTTCTAAAGTATGTCTTAAGACTCTAAAATAATCCGATCTGTTTTTACATTTCTAGTTAAGGTATCAAGTTGGAACCCTAACTGGGCACAACCTGCTCAACCGTCACAAAATGGTGATGAGGGACTTCATGACAATGGTCTGTGTGAAGCCTGTGGCATTGAATTAGAGACTTCCTTGCACTATTTAGGCTATTGCCTGTCTCTGAGCAGTCAAAGAGAAAGAATTCTGGGGGAACCCTTCATGAGTTCTGAGAAACTCAGAACACAATGTTCCAGAATGTTCATGTTTTTTGTATTGAACGCTTTTTGAATTCAGACCTCATGTTCTTCAGTCGAGGGAGTCGAAGATTTGAATAAAGCTCAGTTTCTTTTGGGGGAGCGCAATGAGCCTACTTACGAGGTCCCTGCTCATATGGGTTCTTTATCCATCCCCTCTTACCAATACCAATACCAACTAGTCGATATAACACCTGAGGTTTGCATTTTAGACTGTAAAGAAGTTTAGCAGTGCTAGTCTTTTCTCTGTTAGATCAGTCATTATACTGATTAAAATACATAATATGTACATTTGTTTCCAATGTATATTTATATTTATTGTTTGATCAATCAGACATGTTGCTTTGGGCTGGTGAAGTGTCTGAGTTGCAGGCTTGTGGGCTACCACTGAGCTCATGTTAGAAGTCCTGTTGTAAATGTTTTTCTGTATGAGTGTAACAAGCTGTGTCCACTCTTGCAGCACCACGAGCAGCCCAGTTATTAAAAATATGCATCTGGACTCAAGCATGAGCACCTGATTATGTCATAGACAGGAAATCACAATTAAGAATACACAAATATAATTACAATGTCATCAGCAAAGCATGTAGCAGTTTATCTCTAGAAATGGCTTCTTTTTTTTTTTTTTTATAAATTGTGGTTATATATTAATATAGATATATAACCAAACAGACATTTGCAATACTTTCACATTTTGGCCAGCTGTAGTTTAATTTAAAGCTTTCTTTTCAACACAAACTGTTCAAGGGGTATCACACACCTGCATGTGCTCGAGGCAGACATCAGCGAAAGAGAAAAGTAATATCTTTAATATTTTTTATGAACTTGCAGATATCATGATCTCCTAAATAGCACAGTTTGTAGCTCCGTTCTGTCTGATGCAACCATAAAATGATGAACCACAGATTTAACACTCAAATATATTAGTGTATTTTCTTTTCACCACTACAGTCTGGTTGGACTAGCAAGTTAGTGGTAGCAATGTGGTCACTGAATATTCTGTACTCAACTTAGACCCAAGAATTCTGTTTCCCTCCTTGCCAGTCAGGACCAGAGCAAGTTTAAACTAACTACAGCACAGTAATTTGACACGAGACTTAATAGCAAATGAACCTTTACACTGCTTTATGAAACCAGAAACTGAACATGCCAGGTAAAGCCACACTGCATATTTACAGCAAATCCAATCGACGACAGTAATTTGGGGGATCACCGTACATTTAAATGCGTCTTTGCAGGAACTGTTTATTTAATTGGTTTATTTCATGCTTGCAAGATTTATTTGCATTCTTATGAGGCTTAAAGTAAAATGACTGAAGTTGAAGGCATAAAGATGATAATTTATTTATAAATAACCTGTACCCAAGTGACTTGCATAAATACTAACAAATATAAAACGTAGGCTCAAGCAATTTCTATAAATATTTAAAATAGCTCAGAATTGTTCATTTCTATCAGAGCTTTACCTAGTTATTTTGTAGTTGTACATATTTAGGGAATGTTTCTCATAATGGCTTTAACACGAGCTCTTCTTTCCCACCATGCTCTCTGCCTACAGACTGTGGAACACAACACGTCTGCAAAGAAGCTGACAAAGAATGGCCATAAAACAAACTAAATAATGCAACTGTCATAAACTTTGAAAAGTTGATGCATTTCTCTTCCAGCAGCATAAAATGTCCTTATCAGAACTTCAGGCTAGAGAAGCTCAGTCAGCCAACAAGTCACTCTTTAACCAGCAGGGCATCGTGTTAACAGTCAGGCTCAGGAACAGCTGCAGCAAATCTTTTTGCTGCCAACATTTTTCTGTCTGTAAACGCTTTAATTACCGTATTTTCCACGTCACGTTTTTTTTGCATAGATTTGTCAGTCCTGCTACTTAAATACCAAAGCGACATATATGTTTTTTTTTTCCATATTCATAATGCAATTTTTGACTGACACTTTAAATTTTGAAGAACCGCAAC